GTGTGCATCTTGAGACAAAACAACTGATATATTTTAAAATGTAGCCAATTGGTGCATTTCATAATTTCCATTTCTTTTATAGTCTTTTGAAGATGTATTATATTTAATTGTCTCTTTCTGTTTTGTTTGGCCTTGGGTTGTATTTGTCAGACTGACAAGAGTTTGATGATGTTTGAAAACAAAAGTTAGAACTGATAAAACTACTTGTTTGAGCCGGTTTGTCTGTTGTTTAGGCCAATTGGCAGGCAAAGGGAAGAGGAAATATGTTGACAAAGCCATGGCTTACTGATTCTATAAGATATTTTTTGATATTGCTCACAAGTTGTCCAAAAGCTTGAAGTGTACTTTACACATAACCCTGTTCTTAACTTTCAGCCCTTTGAAGCTTTACTCGGATGGGATGGTAGTGGTTAGTAGCGAGCCATGTCAATCATTTCAATGTGCAAAATGATAATAAAAAGTTTATTCATAATCTTTCAACTCTCTGAAAGACTTTTACAAAGTCTTGATGTCTGCTAGAACAGGTTTTCATGCTTGAATATTGATCATTTGTGTGTTACACATGTGTGTGTTACACAGATGTTAAGTGCATGCTCACCAAAAATAACTATTAAAATATCCCACAAATTGTTCAGATATTGCATTTGAAAAGGCAACTTCTGATTACTGCATGTTTCATTATGTTCAATATTAAATACTGGCTAAATATTGGAGTTAATATAAATGCCACTAGGGCGTTTTTCATTTCAAATTAAATGAAAAATAAGGGAAATATTTTCAGTGTTTGGACACTTTTCATGTCTCTTCTCCCTCTTTTGCATATATATTTGCATCTCTGAGAAAATGTGCACTCTTTTTTTAATGAAATAAGGTACTGATGAAAAAGCAGTACAAATATTCACCTGTGTAAATTTAATACTAATGTTCAGAAACCCTGCAGGAAAGTTTTAAAGAGGCAAATTATGACCTTTTATAAACTCTAAATGTAGTTTCAGGCTCCACTAGAACAGGTTTTCCTGCTTGAATGTTGATTATTCTCCTCATATTCTCCATTGTTGCGGCTCCTCTCTTCCCAGTCTGTCAGTAACGCTCTGTTTAGTTCCTGTCTCTATGAAGCCCCTCCTTCTGAAAGCACACTGTGCTCTGATTGGTCGGCTGGATCAGTGTGCTGTGATTGGTCGAGCGCTTCGAGTGTCCCACCCCTTACCATAACCGCCAATTTAACACACTACTAACTAACTCAACCAGTGAAACACTGATGAAAGATATTTTGAAAAACATCTGAAAGATAAAATATTGCAATGGCCATATAATCCACCGTGAACTCGCATTCAGGTCTGGCTTTTCAAAATTCAATCTATTTCTGATGTGTACGAAACATACACAAAAAAATCCAGAGCAGTTGCTATAAAAACAGTGTTTTCTTTTTAGTTTAAAAGACCATCGACATACAGAGTCTTGGGAATCGCACCGGGAGCGTTTTCATGATCCCTCACAGTCTTGAATGTGGTGTTTGGTCTCGGCATGAGGTGCAGAAATCATGAGAACGCCTCTCACCCATGAACAGCATTTAATTGTGGTGATTACCAGCACTACAGAGATAATTGTTCGGTTCTATGGTTTAGATTGGAGCTTTTGGGGATAATTTGCACTGTTCTAATGTGTATGTATTGGCTTGATAAACTGGTTTCTCCAGGGAACGAGAAACAGCCCTCCTCTCGGCGGGGAGCTTGAGGGAATCAGCCAGTCCTGAAATTACCAGAGCTAATTTCACTTCTCAACTTCACGTCACTTCGTAAGAACTTTTAGCTCCGACTATCAACACCATAGTTTTCTTTAAAGAGGAGATATTGTGCTTTTTTCCATGTTCATCCTTCCAGCGGGAGTCCTTCTCTATATCAGTGTCAGTGTTTCTGAACTCCTGAAACGCCTCCATTGTAGTCTTGAGTTTCTCCCGGGAACGAACACGTCACAATATTCCTCATTATAATAATTCATGCGCAGAATAAAGGGGCGGGGCCTGGTTGAGTTAGTTAGTAGTGTGTTAAACTGGCGGTTATGGGAAGGGGCGGGACATTTTCCAAACACACTCGAAGCGCTCGACCAATCACAGCACACTGATCCAGCCGACCAATCAGAGCACAGTGTGCTTTCAGAAGGAGGGGCTTCATAGAGACAGGAACTAAACGGGGGTGCGTTTCCCCCGTTTTTAATTTATGACTGGCATTACAGGTAATTATTTTGCTCAAGATAAATCCTAGCAATTCAGTACAATCTATATCTTTTATTTCAAATATATGCAATTTTCATTCACGTCTTTTAGTTTGTCGAAAGATTTAAAGCGCACGTGTAAGAACGAGCCTGATTAAATCTGGAAATAACGCGAAATAACTGAGAAATATGAGAATTAGTCCTCAGATGCCATTTCCATAATTTATAGCAAGACATCTAGCATTAATTCGATCTCAAACAGATTCATTAAAAGTATTATTACTCCACCAGCTGCGTGACGTCATTAATAGTTGAACAACAGATTTGCAATAATGCAGTTTTGGGGAACAGTCGAGACTAGACGTTTGATTTAATCAACAATGTATCACACTATTGTACACTCTAAACAACGCTGGGTGGTTTTAACCCAAAATTTGGGTCAAATATGGACAAACCCAAATGTTGGGTTAAAAATGTAATTTAAAAATTTTTAACCCACTTTCAACTGTAATTTTTTTAACCCAACATTTGGGTTTGTCCATATTTGACCCAAATTTGGGTTGAAACAAACCAGCATTTTTTAGAGTGTAGTTTCCCAGTGAGTTATGATGGTGTACAGGACGCGTTACTGACAGACTGGGAAGAAAGGAGCTGCAACAATGGAGAATATGTGAAAAAATAGGGTGTTTTTTTAACATTCAAGCAAGAAAACCTATTAGACCCCAAAACAACATCAAGACTTTAAAAAAGGATTCCTTTAATACGTATTCAGACGGATTTCTGCAACCAAGAATAACTATATTTGTCTGGTTGCGTTCATTTACATAAAGCATCATTACAATTTTAACAAGTTGCAAAGTGCTCGAACCGCTGTAAAATCCAAACTTTCCAGCACTGTACATGTTTATTATATGTGCTGGGCTGCATGTATAGCACTTTTTAAACGTGCTATATAAATAAATGTGATTTGATTTCACTCTTGGCTTCGTGGAGACATGTGCCGATAGGAGTTTGTCTGCTCCATATGATGTAAAAGCATGACTCTAGATGTGTTCATGCGGATTTGGTGCAACATGCTCATTTGTGAGACAAAGAGTCAATTTTCCGTCTGCGCCTCCGTCTCTAGGGTGTGTGTGTGTGTGTGTGCAGATGAAAACCCACTGCCATCAAACACCTTTCAACATCACTTGCTGCGACACACAAGGCTCTCCCAAAAATAGGATGCGTGTGGTTGCGCATGCGGGACACGTCTGCTCTAAAGAGCCCGTAAAAGATGAATCATCTGCACATCAGACTTTCTTTTAGAGGTGACTGACGCTGAAGATACACACAACCATTCGAAAAGGTCCTGCTCTGAAAAACACAGCATTTGTGACGATCTTGCAAACAGGTGCATTAGAGATGTCATTGAAACACACATGAAAACACACTCAAATGTCTGAATTATGAAAAAGATTTTTTGATATTTCTTATCAAGTGCACATTTTATTTGCAAACTTTTAGCGATTAGACATGTACTGCATGGTGTGCTAAAACTTCTCAAACTGGTTTAAACAGCATTTAGCTGATTATTTGATCATCATTTTGCATGTAGCTCTAATGATTTGAAAGACTAGATTGATATTGTTCTAATTCCCCATGTTGTGAGATCCCCCATCACACTGCAGGACTATTGAGCTGGTGATTAAAAATAAGACAAACTTATGATGCTGAACCATCTAAACTTGAAAAAAAAAAAAAAAAGTGTTTCTTCCTCAGTATTTCTGTCTTGTTTTCCAGTACAAATAAAACGTTTTACTGGAGAAGCAAAATAACTTTAGATATCATTATTATAATTATCATGACTTTTATGCTTGAAACTATATTGGGTGGCCAATTGGGTCCGAAAAAAAAACTTGTTTCTCTTTGAATTAAGATCATTTTCCTGACCCCATTGGCAGAAGTTTTCCTCTTGTTTTAAGCATAAACTCACTTCAAATATACACTTTTCTTTTATGCATTTTAAAATTTTGATTCTGATTTGTGCATTAACTACGGTCCAAAACCCTTTAAACATTTTTATTTGACATTATTTTTTAACAATTTGAGTGAAATGTTAAATTGAAAAATGTACGTGTTTGATTTGAGAATGTTCATAACTTTTTAACTCGATTTACTTTTGTATTTATGCATTTGGCAGACGCTTTTATCCAAAGCGAAGGTAAATACATTGAAATTGAAATGTAAAAGAAAAAAAATCCTAGATTTTCAATGAGTATACAGTCAAACCAAAATTTATTGAGACACCTTCAACACCTTCAACTAAAAATGTGCATTAGCAATTAAAGAAAAAACACTTTAGCAAAACATGATCAGCTCAAAGTGTCTGAATAATTTTTGGTCCCAAATTTTTATACATTTTACTGGAAGTCCAGTGTATGAAGAAGTTCTGCGTACAATATGTCAAGAGTTTACTTTATTTTTCTATCGTCACTTACATAAATGAACTATAGTGAAAAAAAAAGAAGAAAAAAAAGATATCTGGTGTCTGAATAATTTTTGGTTTGACTGTATATTTAGAGCGCCTCATGATGATGACACGCGGTTATTGTTGTTATTTTTAAACTGAGACGGTAATTTATAAGCGTGACAACACGAAGAACACTGGGTGACACATTCAGTAGTTGGTAAGTGAGACCAGTAGGGGTCGGATCGCGTTCCCCTGATCTCCAGCCTCCGGCACATGTTCAGTCTCAGTGCTGCATGAGAGAGAGGGAGAGAGAGAGAGGGAGAGAGAGAGAGGGAGAGAGAGAGGGAGAGGGAGAGAGGGAGAGGGAGGACTCTTCTCTCTCCAGCATCAGACGCGAGGGATGCGCTTCATCTCCTTCGGGGTCTCGATGGATGGAGCGACAGGGTCATGAAGGTGACCACCACCTCTGGGTTGGATTTAGGGGGCCATTACCGCAGAAGGAGCATATCCATAATTAATAAGCGCGAGTCGGAGATCCTAGAAGCGAAGCGCAAACACCGGCGAGTCATGTCACCAACCGACAGCGCTTCCAGAGGAGCTGACGAGGAGGACAAAGGAGGATGAAGGAGGCAGAGGAGGATTATAATGAAGCTGAGTGGCAAAGGACTGTGCACTATCGTCTCCAGCTGTGTGCTTTTCGTGTGTGCCGTGAGCGCGGTGATCGTGGGATTCAAATGCATCGCGTTGGGCTCCAGGGTGCGAGCGCACTTCCATCTGGGCACCGCGGCCGGCGCGTTTTACTCGGGCATTTTAGTGGCTGTCGGGCAGGTTCTGATGGGAGTTGCGCTGGTCTTTTGCAGGGGGAAGCCCAGATGTGCGAATTTTTTCCTCTTTGGGATTTTAGTGTTTCTTCTAGGGGTTCTCACTGCGTTTTCGGGCGCGGTGGTGGATGGCGATACGGTGTCCCTGGTGGAGAGGAAATACGCGCACTATTGCGCGGACTCTGTGGATGTAAACCCGGCGTGCGATGGGCTCAAGGTGTACCAGCGGGGTCTGGTGGTCTCCACTGTACTTAACACTCTGGAGTGCCTACTAGGGCTGATGAACCTGATTATTATTAAGCGTTACCACGCGGCGCGGTTTCGCCGGAGACGCAGGACGCAGCGTCGGAGCGCGCGCATTATCCTCAACGAGGAGCGAGACTTCACGGTAACGGAGTTTCAGCCGGTGTCCTACATCAACCTGGGGGTGTTTCACGCGTTGGACGAGGCGGACGGAGAGGTGCAGAGCAGGGGTCACCCGTGCATGGAGTTACCGGGCTTTTCGCCCACCAATCCGGAGCTTAATCACTCGTACCCGTTTTCGTACCCGCTTCACAGCGAGATGCCTCCAGCATACGATGACATATTCCCTGGAGAAGAGAGCAGCAAATAACAGAGGAGAGCTATACACGAGGAACCGTTTTGCACTGACAATCACGCTGAACTTGGAATTAGCACGTTTATTTATAGTTGCCTAATGTACTTTTTACAGCCGACACTCTTTAGTTGTGCATAAACTACAGGACAAACCTATGAGAAGGTGTACGTGCTGAAAGGATTATGTGCAACATTTGTTTTTGTTTTGTTTTTGACCTCTCTGACTGACTGATTGTATTCTCGGTTCATCCCATGTCAAAATCCCAAAGGTTTGTGTGTACAGGATTCCCATTGGAATTTTTGTCATAGTTTGGAATCTGTCCTAAAGGATCCTGGTTTTCTTACAGTATTCCAGCAGGGCACAAAACAAAAAGAAGCTGCCAACTGAGCAAAAAGAACATATGAGAAGGTAAACGTGATAGACGTATGCATCATGTAAGTTTTGTTTTGTTTTTGACCTTCCTGATTGATTGTATTCCCAGTTCATCTCTAGTCAAAAAGGTTTGTGTACAGGATTCTGCTGGGATTTGTGTTGCAATTGGGAAGCGAATGACCCTAGGATCTGTTTTACAGTATTCCAGCAGGGCACAAAACGAAAAGAAGTGACGAACTGAGTAAAAATATCATATGAGAAGTGTGTGTGTGTGTGTGTGTGTAATTTGTGTTATGATTTAGAACCAGACCATTATGATTCCCAACAGGATAAAATGAAGTTGAAGATTTATTCTGAAAGTCTAAAATGAGACGTCTCATGATTGTTTATGACCTCTTGATCCGGTGTTTCAGACAGAAAGCTGTTGGCGACAGTGAAATGACAGGCGTTACCCATCAGACAGAACATCGGGGGACACGATTAGTGTTTCTGAATCATGATGTTCCAGAGGAGAACATGTTCAGCTGAAAGCTTGTGAGTCGCTGGAGTTGTACGGTTATCCTCTGTATCATTAGAGGTTTCCGACAACACTTAAACCCAAACTGGTGATTAAATAAACAGTGAAACAATTATTTAAAAAATAAATTGTACAGAATTCCAATTGGAATGTTGGTTGTGTTATTCTGTTACTGATGGAATGTCTGTTATTTTACATTATTCCAATAGAACACAACACAAAACAAAAATAATTTCCCAATAGGACTATTATGATGCAAAACGCAATAGAAATATGATTATTATTATTTTGCCAGCTGAATAAAATGCTCACGTAGGACCTCTATCATAACAGTTTTAGTTATTTTAGAACATCAACTTCAACACAATGTTGCATTGGGAGCTGAAGTTAATTGAATTTAGGGTTTTATATAGCCTAAAAGTTGATTTAATTTAAAGTAATGAGAATGTTTTTGGTAACACTTTACTTAAAGCCTTCATGTATTATTAGGGCATTCATAAATGCATTATATCTTTTCATAAATAATTGTAACCAAAGTTAAAATGCATTAAAATTGATTCCTTTTGCTTTCTAAAGGTGTAACAATGAATGGATACATTTTATAATCTGTTATAACTGTGGTTGCAGTTAACGCTTTATAAGGTGCAATCAAATGACTTTCGGTAAAGTGTCACCAGGCTTTTCTATGGGTTGAGTTCATTATAATAACGCTGCTGTCTATTAGCAAGAAATCCAATAATCCCAGAAGCATTAAGAATCAAAACAGCAGTTTATCCGGTACGACTGATTTAAGGATTGATTGACATATCATTGTGAATCCTGACTTTTTTGACTAGGGATGGCCATAGCTTCTCGATTGTTTCCCTCATATTGCTTCTGTTCCACTTCTGAATAAAAGGTGTATTCTCTCTCTCTCTCTCTCTCTCTCCTGATGTTGAGTCCAGGTTGGACTCGTGACGGTGTGTTCTTCCTCCAGCAGGTGTTGTTGCCATGGTTCCTTGACCCTGTTTCTACCTGTGTGTAATTAGATATGTACCAAACCAGTCTTTGAAATGCAAATGTGCTTGGTTTGTCAAGTCTGATCTGGTGCTCAAAGCAAAGCCGGTTGTTTAATGCAACAAACACAATCATACGTTTCAGTTTAGCGTTTTAGAGCGATCTCTTTGAAGAGATTTTTCACTGGATGCCAAAGGGACATTTTACAAAGACCTGCGCTTTTCATCCGAGGTATTATATGCATTACAAACACGTCGAGAATATGCCTAATTATTCTGAGTGGATATTATATGCTTTGGCACGAGGACAAAACCTCAGATGAGGCGTTTCTGATGAAGAGACGAGCTTTTGTCTCTCAAACTCGGAGATCATACTGAACATGCTTCTGTTTTGCTGGATATTATTTTATTCATTATAAGAAATGACACGACTTTGAGAATGTCTCAGTATTTGGTGTGTCTTTATTCTGCATTAATGACGGCTGTACTGAAAAACTTCTGACATGATTTGAGATGCTCCAAAAAGCTTAAATTGAGGCGAAAACATCACAAGAATCTCGTTTACTTGCTCTATCTTTCAGAAGTGTCTTCTGCTCACCAAGGCTGCATTTATGTGATCAAAAATACAGTAAAAACTGTGAAATATTGCATTTTAAAAACAGCTGTTTTCAATGTGAATATACAGGTGAAACTCGAAAATATTTTAATATCGTGCAAAAGTTCATTTATTTCAGTAATTCAACTTAAAAGGTGAAACTAATATATTATATAGACTCATTACATGCAAAGTGAGATATTTCAAGCCTTCATGTGTTATAATTTTGATGATTATGGCTTACAGATATGAAAACTTTTTCACAATATTCTAATTTTGACTTTGGGGTTTTCATATCTGTCATCCATAATCATCACAATTATAACAAATAAAGGCTTGAAATATCTCACTCTGCATGTAATGAGTCTATATAATATATTAGTTTCACCTTTTAAGTTGAATTACTGAAATAAATGAACTTTTGCACGATATTTTAATTTTTCGAGTTTCACCTGTATAGTAAAGTGTAATTTATTCCTGTGATCAAAGCTGTATTTTCAGCATCATTACTCCAGTCTTCAGTGTCACATGATCCTTCAGAAATCACTCTAATATGAGGATCTGATGCTCAAAAAACATTTATTTATGATTATCATCAGTGTTGAAAACAGTTGCATATTTTATGTAACAATATAAATGTCTTTACTGTAACGTTTGATCAATTTAATGCGTCCTTGTTGAATAAAAGTATTAATTTCTTTAAAACTCTTCCCAAACTTTTGAAAAGTAGTGCATATCTAATAAGTCACCTAGAAAAACTTTGTTTTAAATGATTCTAAATACCAACATTTAAATGAAGATGTCATAGTTTTTAGACTCGTGGATCTGCGATTAGAAATGTGTTTTCATGCGGCTTTGCTTTATCACTGAAGCCTGTGATGATGTACAGTATCAGTGTATCTTTCGGAAAGGCGTCTCTAGAAATGTGTTTTCCCTCTTCCTGAAATGTCAAACAAAAAGCCGCTGCTTATGCGAGGCGTTTCCATTCAGAACATTTCAGCTTATTAGAGTTATGACTGTGGGATATGATTAATGCTGTTCCTGAGTAATGATCCCGAACGAAAGCACTTCTCATTCTCAGCATATCCAACCTGTCATTTGCTGGAGTTGTTTGTTTAGAAAGAAGCCTCAGATGTGTGTGTGTGAACGGTCGCACTCAGGTATTGACATCTGTCGTGACTCGTGTGCATGATTGCCGTGTAAATATTTGAAGCAAATCTTTATGATATTTTACGTCTTCACCATCTCACCCCTCTCGAGTTTGATTAGCCAGTGAGATCTAACAGTTAGTGCAAACTTCCCGATTTCCCCGAGAGGATTCGCTCATCATTAATAGAACTAAAAGAGCTCTGGATGTGAATTAACAGCCTAGAAGGGAAATGCCGGCCCTTTGAAAAATGTCAGTCGTGCAGAATAACAACTGCATGATGGGAAAGCGAATACAGTCATTGTGTTTCGGTAAGACGCTTCCGACTGTGAAAAGTGCCTTTTCAACCAATCCTTTAAATACACACTGTATATTCTGATGAAAATGTGACGATGTTAGAAAGCATAATGCAATGGAAATGTTGCTGAAGGTCAGGGGAAGTTCTGGAAGGGTTTGTGCTGTTGAGTTTTCCATTCTTTTATGGCAAATCTTCACAAATTTAGCTTTTATTTAGCTAATGGAGGCCGGAGACGTGTAATGCAAATTGCTTGTTGCCTCATTTCCAGCCCATTTTCTGTTATCTATTATTCAAATGACCAGGACAAGAAATCATAATGTTCTGCCCGTTTAAATTCATCATTATGCTTTTTTTTTGTGCTTGTGGACTTTAATTTTGATAATGAAATATACAGTGGTTAATGCACTTGTTTGTTTAAATATGGAAGTGTATGAGTCAGAGATGTCATGATTTCTCTTGTTATTCTCCAGATTCATTATCTAAATCGAGCAAACTTTATAATTGTACATGTTCATCTTGACTACAATTACCATAGATGTCCATAATAAAGGCTAGATGTCTCGTCCGCACTGCTGGCCAATGGAGGTCGCCGTCCGCACTGGCGGCCATCTTGTCACAGGCAGCTCGCTCACTCTAACATTGTGTTTTAATGGTGCATGTACTTTTTAAATAACCATAACTTGCTCAATTTTCTACCCATTTTCGGTTTGGTTTGTTATAAACATCAGAGATGTCGTTATGACACTGCATACTTATGAATAATAAGTGTATAAATAAATAATCATCCAGAATTATAGCCACGTTAATAACGTTTGTAAGAAACCAAACCGTTTGTAAATCCGTCAAGATTTCACCGAGATAAGAGAATTTGTGTTCGTGCTGATCACTCATCTTACATCAGGCACCACAGAGCCCGCCAGAAAGCTTGCCTGTGACAAGATGGCCGCCGGTGATGACGCGCCGTAACACATCTAGCCTTTATTATGGATATCTATGACAATTACAGCCGTTCTCATAGAGAGCATAAGCCCCTCCCCTCCGCTTCCGGCTCATGGGACCTTATTTCGGAAAAAATATGTATGGCAAGAGACAACTTATCTTTTTATTCCGTCTGAACTCTGCCCTGAATTACACATATGATGTTTGTCAGTTTAAAAGATAGTTCTGAAAGTCAAGAAAGTCGCAGTTTGTCATAAAACAGAAGAGTAACATTTAGTTTTATGTGAAAATCGCTCAATGAACTACATCTCCCGGGAAGCGAAACAACGAGCGAGATCCGCTGCTCGTGTGTGTGTGCAGTCTGGTACAAAACACTCGATGACGGCGTAACGTTACGATTATAACAGAAGACTATAGAAACAATGACAGACGTTAGCTTCAGTAGAGTTAGCTTCAGTAAAGTTAGCATCAGTAAAGTTAGCTTCAGTAAGGTTAGTTTCAGTAAGGTTAGCTTCAGTAAAGTTAGCTTCAGTAAAGTTAGCATCAGTAAAGTTAGCCTCAGTAAAGTTAGCATCAGTAAAGTTAGCATCAGTAAGGTTAGCTTCAGTAAAGTCAGCTTCAGTAAAGTTAGCTTCAGTAAAGTTAGCTTCAGTAAAGTTAGCTTCAGTAAGGTTAGCATCAGTAAAGTTAGCATCAGTAAGGTTAGCTTCAGTAAAGTCAGCTTCAGT